CAGGGTTCCCATGGTTACAGAGATTACTTAGCATACCAAAGGTTATCATGAGACTTGGAAGAGGAGGAGTCCTGAGGCTGTCTTAATAGGGTTCCCATAGTGGGAGATTATTTAGCACAGTAAGTCTTTATAGATAGTTATAGCATACCAACTTTTCATGAAAAGTTATCATAAGGACCTTGAGAACACATAACTGCCTTTGGTTAGGTAGAATTAATTGGCACATCTGTGCTCTAGAATTCCATGGCCAGAGCACATCCTGCGACTGTGGGCTAAGGGAGCAGTTGCCTATGCTGTTGCAGCTGCTTGTGGGTCTGGGATTCTGATCACGTAACGTCATGTAACCCCCCCTCACTTATTTTGGGACTTTTATTCTCTTTTTTTTCTGTCTATTTTCGTAGAGGCCCAGAATGCGTCAACCACATGCAAAGGAAGGACAGAAGCCTATAACCCCCATTACTACTATTGCTTAGTCATAAGGAAATACATACACAAGGGAACATCAACAGTGTAAGCGGATTTTTCTGTTCTACCTGCTGGCTTCCAAATAACCTCACAGAGACTTCTTATTAATTATGTAAGCTTGACTGGTAAAGCTTGTTCCTAACTAGCTCCTATAGCTTAAATTAACCCATATTTTCTTAATCTATGTCCAACCACATGGCTTTTACCTCTATCTCATTTGGTGGGTCTGACTCATTTTGCATCTGCCTGACTTCTCCTCTCTTCTTCCCAGCATTGTCTCTGCCGCAAAATACTACCTAGCTATCGGTCAAATGACCAATAACCTATTCTTAAACCAATCACAGTGACATATCTTCACACAGTGTAAAGGAATGTTCCACAACACAATGGAGTTGATCCAAAAGAGTGTTGCCCCTTCGTAAACAAAATCAAGGTAGATCAGTTCATGAGTGACAACACCAGGGATAATAAAGACTGGAGAAACCACTCTGAATTGCGGTGCAGGTTCTGGAAGTTGTGCAAATCTGGTGAACTTGCCACAAATGCTGCAGTTTTAGTTTATAAGACTGTCCTAAGTAACTTCCTTCCTCCCTTATTGTACGGGCCCCATGTTTGGGTGTATGTTATGCCGAAGGAAAGCAGAGAACAGAGTCGTGAACACCACATCCTTCTCGCCGTTCTTTCCCTTTGAAGCAGAGGACAAGGTTTTTCTCCGTAGCCCTGGCTTACCTGGTAGGTATCGCAGACTACTCCTAGACTTCTGGCATTGCTTCTGCATTAGCCTCTGAAGTGCTGGAATTACAGAAGGGACCCAACCTGAAAACACTCAAATAAGAAAGAGCGATGTTTTTGTGTGTGTGGGAGGGGATCTGGTGGGGTGGGGCAGTGAGGAGTAAGGTGTGGAGTGAGGGGTGAGGTGTGGAGTGAGGTGAGGTGTGGAGTGAGGTGAGGTTTGGAGTGAGGTGAGGTGTGGAGTGAGGTGTGGAGTGAGGTGAGGTGTGGAGTGAGGTGAGGTGTGGAGTGAGGTGAGGTGTGGAGTGAGGTGAGGTGTGGAGTGAGGTGAGGTGTGGAGTGAGGTGAGGTGAGGGGTGAGGTGAGGTGTGGAGTGAGGTGAGGTGTGGAGTGAGGTGAGGTGTGGAGTGAGGGGTGAGGTGAGGTGTTGAGTGAGGGTTAGGGGGGTCGGACAGTGGCAGATGTGAACTCAGGGCTGTGTTGCTGATGTCATCCCCACAGTTTCAGCTGACCACAGTGGTTGGCTCTTGAAGTGATTGACGTCTTTTCTGAAGAAAGTGGTGAATGTGAGGACAGCCATGCTACCCGGCGTAAGGGTGACACTTATCAAACCAAGGCACACACCGCTGAAACAGCTTGTATCCTTTATTGTGAACGTTTAGATGGAAAGGTGGAGAACAAGCCCTAACCCAGGTACTTACAGGCAGCTTGAGTTGGCTATGTTTGTGGCACCCCATGTTGACCACCAAGCTCAGCAAGCTTCTTGACAGGCTATCTTTGGCCCATCAGCCCACAAAAAATGACCTGGAGACGTATCACTAATTATGGAAGCTTGGCCTTTAGATTAGGCAAGTCTCAACCAACCCTTATAACTTAAATTATCCATATTTTTTAATCTATGTTTTGCCTTGTGGCTTTTTGCCTTTCACTCTGAATGTCTGTCTTTCTTGCCATCTGATGTGCACCTAGATTCATCTCCTACTTCCTCTATGTCTGCCAAGAAGTCCTGCCTCTACCTTTTTCCTAGCTAGTGGCCATTCAGCTCTTTATTAAACCAGCACAGCATTATATCTTAACACAGTGTACAAATATCCCACAACACATTTGCTTAGCGTTTAAATAGCTTTTCTTTGCATCCTTTCTAAATCTGACTTGTCTTCTCCCCAGAGATCACCAATATTCATGGATCTTGTGATTATTTCCATTAATGCCTTTATGTTCTTCCTATATAGTATCCATTACAGAAAGTATATAGAGCATTACTTGTATGTTTTCAAGCCTTGTGGTAGTGTGTCATACAAAATGCTAATTAGTATTACAGTTTGGGAATTTAACAAGTTGATGGAAGTATCTCCCACTGGCTACTACAATTTGCATTCTAACTTAAGCCTGCTTTTAAAGGCTAGTTTCTGCATCTCTATAAATAGCACTGCAGTGGGCTTTCATGTACATCTCACGAAATGTGAAGACTTGTGTTTCTGTAGAGGGTTCAGTGCAGAATTACTGTATTCAAGACAAGTCACACCCTCAACTTTAAAAGATATTGCCAACTGATGCTGCAGGCAACCAGGACCATGAATATCCACAGGGCTCCACATCTTTCCAGTTAGTTTCTTTTTCCCTAAATACTGGTTTCACTATGTAGCCTTGGCTGGCCTGGAACTCACTGTGTAGAGCAAGCTGATCTCCAGCTCCTAGAGCTCTGCTTGTGTCTGCCTCCTGGAAGGCATTCACCACTATGCCTAGCTGCCAACATGATCTTGAAACAGCTCATTTTATTATGGTTTCATTTTACACACCCCTCACTACTTGTGACATACAGAATCAATTTTTCTAACCCGCCCCCCCTCCAGGTCTACTTTTTGTTACCATCCTGAACCAACCTTTCATATGGATTTCTACAAATAGAGTCAACACGTTGCTTGCTGTTGTTTGGGATTTTCACTTGGCAGAAATTAAAGAGTACAAGCATCCCATTGTTGCAGAAGATTTGTACACTGTGAAGATGTGTCATTGCCAAGGTGCCTTCTGATTGTTTTACTAAAGAGTTGAATGGCCAATAGCTAGGCAGGAGAGGATAGATAGGATTTCTGGGGAGAGAGAGGAAGAGGTACCGAGGCACTTGGATTTCACCAGCAGACTTGGAGCAAGTCTGATGTGCCATACTGAGGAAAACATAAAAGCCATGGGGAAAAACATGGAGTAATAGAAACCAGTTAATTTGAGTTATAAGAGCTAGTTGAGGACAAGCCTAAGGTAAAGACCAAGTAATTTCATAACAATAAGAATTCTCCATGTCATTATTTGAGGGCTGGCAATCCAAAGATTGTCTAACAAGAAAGCCTGATATAGAATATTAGTTAGGAAGAATCGCCAACTCCAATGAGTTTCCTATAACTTATGGTCATTAACTTATTTTCTTGTTATTTTTCAGTTTTCTGCGATTTAAAATGTATTGTTTTTTTTTTTTGAGACAGAGTTTCTCTATGTAGCTTTGTATATGAGGCTGGCCTCGAACTCACAGAGATCCATCTGCCTGTCTCCTGAGTGCTGGGATTAAAGGCGTGCACCACCACTGCCTAGCCTTAAAATTCATTTTTGAGACAGGGATTCTCTGTGTAGTAGCCCTGAGTGGACTTCAGTTCAGAGATCTGCCTGCCTCTGCCTCCCAAGTGCTGAGATTAAGGTGTGTGACACCGTGCTGGGCATAAATGCATTGTCTTTATATCTAAGTATTACTAACTATTTCACATTCTGTAATTTAACTGATGAAAATGTAGTATTCATATTGCTTATGTCACATAAGCTTCAGGGTGTTTAAAGAGTAGTTTACTCAATGGTTACAGAATGAATGAAAATCTGTAGTTTTACTTTTGATTTCAATTTGGAAAGCATAGTATAAAAGCTTGAAAACTTTATATTTTTTCTAGGTATAAAACAATTGATATGCTTTCAAAATTACCTGAACTAACCATATAATTATTTAGGTTTAGTGTCTTTTGATGGGAACTACCCATTTCTGCTTTATGTTTTTAGAATAAATTCTATTTCCCTAATCTAAATTCAAGTGCTGAATTATTTCCAGTGAATCCTATCTTGTTGATTCTCCATTCTCCATAGAAACTTGGAAACTAATAACCAATTATTGGTTTACTGCCTGGGTCTATGATGATTATTCACAAAGAGGATTAAAACTCCCATTATGTTCTAAAATGTTTAGGTTTTCTCAGTTATGATCAGGTGCTTCCCAAACAGGTTCAATAAACCTTGTTTCAGCTGTGAGAAGCAAATGAGTCAATATGCTAGCTATATTGAACAGTGCACCTGGTACATGCTAGGCATTACTATTTACTGAGTATCTGCTATAACTGACGTCCTATGTTAAGTACTCTGCATTACTATTTACTGAGTATCTGCTATAACTGATGTCCTATGTTAAGTATTCTGCATTACTATTTACTGAGTATCTGCTATAACTGACGTCCTATGTTAAGTACTCTGCATTACTATTTACTGAGTATCTGCTATACCTGACGTCCTATGTTAAGTACTCTGCATGCAAGTTTCTCATCTCAGTATCAACCCTCATTTAATATATTTCCACAGTACAGTAGCTTTTAATACCCCTATTTTAAGGTTAAAACCTTAAGGTTTTGACAAGTCAAATAAATTGTTCAAAGTCACACAATGCCATAGTAGCAGTAGAACTATGATTTCCCAGAATCTTAACAGTCTTAAGAAATGTCTAGTGCCTAAAGGACATGGGGATAAAATGAGCTGAATGGCATGTTTGGAACAGACAATGAAGAGTCTTATATATAATTTTAAAGGGCGTTGTCTAAAACCAATAGCAAGCAAAAGACAATTTTAGGTGGAGATGGTGACGCATTATTCTTACACTTTAAAAAGATCTGCTGGTTAGCCGGGCGCTGGTGGTGCATGCCTTTAATCCCAGCACTCGGGAGGCAGAGGCAGGAGGATCTCTGTGAGTTCGAGGCCAGTCTGGTCTACAGAGTGAGTTCCAGGACAGCCTCTAAAACAATACAGAGAAACCCTGTCTCGAAAAACAAAAAACAAACAAACAAAAAAAGATCTGGTGTTGTGGTAGCGCACAGTTGTAATCCCAGCACTTGCACTTGGGAGACAGAGACAAGAAAATGATGAGCTGAGGTCAGCCTTGGCTACACTGTGAGTCTAAGGCCAGCTTGCATTACGCAAGATCCCACCTCAAAATAACATCATTTTGGGTACATTACAGGAAAAGGATTTGAAGACAGTAATAATAGATACTGGAAAGTCCATTAGAACAGTATAGCGGTAATCCTCATTAAAGACAGAAAACATAAATTGCAGAAATATTTAGGAGATGGGATTTACAGGACTTGGTGATTGCCTGGACTGGGTGGCATGAGAGGCTCCTCGGTGTGAATTCTCTGATGATGAGCGAGATGCGCATGCTGCCTGAAGGTTTTCTGGCATTCCTTACACTCATAGGGTCTCTCTCCTGTATGAATTCTTTGATGTTGGGCAAGAGATCCACAGTAACTGAAAGCCTTCCCACAATCATTACATTTGTAAGGTTTTTCTCCAGTATGAACTCTCCGGTGTTGAGTAAGGGATGAGTCATTGCTAAACGTCTTCCCACACTTATTACATTCATAAGGTTTCTCCCCGGTGTGAACTCTTTGATGCTGAGCAAGGTAGGCAATCTGACTGAAGGCCTTCCTACATTCCTGGCATTTATAAGGTTTTTCTCCCGTATGAATTCTCTGATGTTGAGCAAGGTGTGAATTTTGGCTGAAGGTCTTCCCACATTCCTTACATTCATAGGGTCTCTCTCCCGTATGTATTCTCTGATGCACAGTAAGGTACGCTCGAAGGCTAAATGCTTTCCCACAGACCCGGCACTCGTAAGGTTTCTCTCCTGTGTGGACTCTCTGGTGTTGAGCAATGGATGACCTATTGCTAAAGGCTTTTCCACATTCGATACATTCATAGGGTTTCTCTCCAGTATGAACTCTCTGATGCTGAGCAAGGTAGGCAAACTGGCTGAAGGCTTTCCTGCAAACCTTACATTCATAAGGTTTTTCTCCTGTGTGAATCCGCAAGTGTTGAACTAGATGTGCATTCTGACTGAAAGTTTTCCGACATTCTTTGCATTCGTACGGTTTCTCTCCGGTGTGAATCCTGTGGTGCTGAACAAGGTTTGATCTCTGACTGAAGGCTTTCCCACATTCCATACATGTGTAGGGTTTCTCTCCAGTATGAATTCTTTGATGGAGAGTAAGGGAGGAACTCTGGCTAAAGACTTTCTCACAATCGCTGCATTTCAAAAGTTTCTTCTCTTTGTAGATGCTCTTGGGCTTAACAGTCCTCAAGCTCTTCCTCAAGCTCTTCTTGTACATGCCTTGTTTGTACGCATTCTCCTCTTTGGGGGTCGTCTGTTGTGTATGAAGCAATGTGCTCTGATAGAAACTTTCCCAGGCTCTGTTATCAATCAGAGCTTCAAAAGCAATGGTTTCCTCCTTGAAATATGCTTTTAGATTCTCAGATTGCCTCTCAAAATGATGTTCATAGCTCCATTCTTCCATCAGACTGGGGTACTCAAGGCCGATACTTTTAAGTTCTTCTAGTACATTTCTTGGTGACTGTTCATCATAAAGTTCCTGCTTTGGGACTAGTTCTTCTGTCACATACATAGACTCCCACTCTAAAAGTGATAAGAAAAGTGTCTTACTATGTATCAAGAAGATATTATCATGAAAGTACATTTGTAAAGTGGAGTATGTAAACTCAGTATCAAATAAAATCCAAAAGACCACAGTTCTGGAGTATACCACAAACCAAAATTAGCCATGAGGATATGTGTGGAGTGATTAGAACTTTATAAAAACCAGTAAGGCGAGTCACAGGGTGAGAAGGAACTGGCTATGACTGGACTTGGTTGTAAGTATAGACACTGGAATAGTCTGTATTCTCATAATTGCTTCATTGAAGGACATTCATTGACAATTATCTGATATCAGATGCTCTTATGGATGCCTTCAGTATCATGAGACAATGATCGCAGCCTTCATTGCAAGGAAATTTTATTGCACATTAAATGTACTCAGTGCTACAGAAAAAGGAATAGGTAGGTGATCATGCCTCTGTACACAGAGGGCTTCAAGGCCCTAAAATAGCACTGACGATTTTCTATTTATTTTACTTCATCATAAGTTGCATATCTACAAAATCATCAACAGAATAATTTTCTCTCATCTTGTTTAAAAGTTTTATTACATTGTTAAATTTATTTTGCTGGGCAGTGGGGGCACATGTGTTTAATCTCAGCACTTGGCAGGCAGAGGGAAGTGGATCTATGAGTTTGAGGCCACTGACTACACAGAGAAACCCTGTCTCAAAAAAAAAAAAGAAAAAAATTTAGTGTGTGTGTGTGTACATGCATGCATGTGCATGTACATGCCACTCATCATGTGGATGTTAGAGGACAACTTGCCAGAGTTGGTTCTCTCTGTCCACCACTGGGCCCTAGGCGTTGAACTCAGATTGTAAAGCTTGAAAATTAGTGTTGCTACCCACTGAGCTATCTCACCAGGCCAGTTGTCTATTTCTTAATCTAGGAAGTGACTAAATGGATTTTTGTTCTACCTAAATTTCACATATGGGATGGAGATATGGGACAACTTACTGTTCTTTCAGAGGACCCAAAACTGGCTCCAAGCATCCAGGCTTACAACTGCCTGTAACGCCAGCTCCAGGGGACGCAATGTCTGTCCCCCTCAGGCACCTGTACACACACACACACACACACACACACACACACACACACACACACACACACACACACACTGTGGTGGTTTGGATGGGAATGGCCCCCAGTCTCGTGTATCTGAGTCACTGGTCCCCAGTTTGTGGAACTGTCCGGCATATATTAGGTGTGGTCTTGTTGGACATTAATGTTTCAAAATGGGGTGAACATAAATGCTTCAAAAGCTTATGTTATTCCCTGTTCTCGCTCTTTGCCTACTAGTGGATGAGATGTAAACTATTAGATACTGGTCCAGCAACAATGCCTCCCTGCTGGCTGCCATGATCCCTGCCAAGATGGTCATGGATGTTGTGGGATATGTGGTCACATGGTGAACCCTGAGATTGCATTATTTAAATAAAATCAACCATAGGTTGAGAGGTGGAGCAAGCAACCAGTTGGTTGGAAGTGACCACAGAATGTGAGGGAAAGCCAAGAGGATGGAGAAAGAGGGGCACAGGAAGTGAAAGGGAGAGACTTCTGGTTGGAGGAGTTTTGCTTTCAGACAGAGGAGAAGAGACTCTCTGAGACTATGGCCGAGGAGGAAGGTCAGCAAGCTGCTTTCTCTGCTTCTCTGAGGTAGCAGGTTTTCACCACAGCATCTGGCTCTCAAGTCTTCTTTGGTAGAATAAAAGGATGGAAAATTAGTTAAAACAGCATTTGTCTCTCTACAAGGAGGTGGCTGAAGCAGCAACAGGACATAAAGCCCCCCCCCCAGCACGGGCTTGAAGCAGTGATAATATCATGTGTAGCTGCTGATCAGCAAATATAAAAACAACACATGGACTTGCCCTTTGAAAACGTAAGTCCCAATAAACTGTTTCTTCTGTGACTTGTCTTGATCATGGTGTCTCTTCACAGCAAGAGAAAAGTAACCATACACACACATACCACACACACAACACACACACACACACACACAACACACACACACAACACACACAATACACACACACACAGACACACACCACACACACACACACAGACACACACACACACCACACACACACACACCACACACACACACCACACACACACACACAAAACACACACACACACAAAACACACACACACACACACAGTTTCAAAATAAAATAATCTCTAAACTCCGTATGTGTACAATTTAATTCTGTATCACTTGATATCAACTGTGATATCAAATGCTGTCTCATAAAACTGACATAAGACATGGGCCGAGGCAATGCAGGATATAGGATTGAGAGAGATATTTATGATGACAAAACATTAGTCCTTCATTTGTCCTCAATGTTTCCTGTCTGTCTGCAAATCCTTCCAGCACTACACACCTAAGCTCTTACTCTTTTGTTCCTCAAATGTTCTCTAGTTGCTTATCTTTGCTTTTGTTAAAGATGTCATCTTCCCAGCTACCCAGAATTCTCTCCCTCTCACCTGAGTTTCCTTTATGCCAAGTTTCCTCTTCATATATGCCATCCGTAAATATATCATATCTTCCCTGCAAACCTAATAACTCTTTGATTATTTGTACACACATGTAACACTCTAGGAACTCAGGGCAGAGAGCCAGGTAGGAGAGGCGTTGAAAGTACCATGTTGGGCTGGAGAGATGGCTTAGAGGTTAAGAGCACTGACTGCTCTTCCAGAGGTCATGAGTTCAATTCCCAGCAACCACATGGTGGCTCACAACCATCTGTAATGAGATCTGGTGCCCTCTTCTGATGTGTACATGGAGGCAGGGTGTTGTATTCGTAATAAATAAATAAATCTTAAAAAAAGAAAGTACCATGTTAAAGTATGAGTTGAGTAATATTGGTATTGATTAGAGGAATAAGAATGAATGAACTAACAGAGGAAGGCGAGGCATTTGGAGAGACAGCACTACTTCTAATTGAAGTCAACAGCTACTGAGTTCACACTACATAAAGGAAAAGTTCAAGGTACTTCAAAAGCATTATTTTAGAAATAGCAAAACAAAGAGAGATTAAGCAACTTTCCTAGAATTTCACTACATATAAGAATCAGGATTTGAACCTGGTACTTCATTTACTCTCAGCATGGCCCCAGAGTTCATCAAATCAGAAAGAGACTATTTAAAGGCTAGGTGGGAACTATAAAAGTGAGAAGCAACAGGAGTTGAGAGAAGAGACGAAACGCGTCATTGAGAAGCAGAAGGCAAAGCTTGAGGAGAGGGTAAGGTTGGCCAACGGGGGAGAGTACCCTGGAAGGCCCCAGGTTTCTTTCAGGCCCAAAACATTGGGAACACGCCACAAAAAAAGGACCAGGAGACACTTTTTTGAGTCAGGCTGAGCCGTCACCTTCAAAGGTCTCTGCTTTTTCCTCCCTACTCACCTGTGGACAAACTGTCTGTCAGCTCTGTCTTCACCGTCCATGGCTCTTTGCCTTGTTCCAACAGGAGGATCACTCTGGGTTTAGAAAAGCAAAGGCCTGGAATGGGAGAAGGGATGACTTGGTTATGCTGATGGCAGACCGCTCACAGTTGGTATCAGCCACACCGCAGGGCAGGTCCCACGCCTAGGAAGAGGAGGCTAACACAAAATACGTACAATAGCAGTTTTGCTTCCTCTTGTTTGTTCTGCCCCCCCCTTTTTTTCTTATCGGTACTTTGCCTATTTGATTTTGTGACTTTTGTTGGTGGTGGTGGTAGTTTCTTGATTGCTTTGTTTCTTTTCTTTTTTGAGAGAGAGAAAGTATAAGTTGAATGGGTAAGAGAGGGAAGGATCTAGGAGGAGTCGGGGAAGAGGAAAACATGATCAAAATATATTGTATGAAAAAATGTTAATAATAAAAGAATACCTAGGGCTGAGGAGATAGCCCAATCAGCTAAGCACCCATGTAAAAAGCGTGTTGGCACACATCTGTACATCTGTAATCACGCTTATGGGAGACAGGGATAAGCAGATGCCTGGAGCTCACTGGACAGCTAGCATCCAGGTTCAGTGAGAGATTCCATCTCAAAAAAGGCAGGGCTGGTGAGACAGTCTACAAGTAAAGGCACTTGCTGAAGAAGCATGATGACCTGAATTTGACAGTAGAGTGAACTGACTCCTGCAAGTTATCTTCTGACCTCCATAAGCCTGTGCCAACACACAGTATATAAACATTTTTAAAATCTCCTACTAGAAAACCTAAAAGTACAAGAGAAACTTGTGGCACAGGTCAATGACAGGACTATCTACTGTTAACTCAGTGTGTTTTGCATTAGGACAGATACTCACTCACCCAAGCTTTGCTTGCAGATGTGACCAAAATATTCACAATGACACTAGCAAAGTTCTTTATGAAGAGAAGCCTCATTTTGCAAGGGAAAGATATCCTTACTGTCTTAATTGGGGTTACTATTGCTGTGATCCAACACCACGACCAAAACAACTTTGGAAGTGTAATGGCTTGAATGAGAAGGGTTCCCGTAGGCTCATAGATTTGGATGTTTGTCATCTGGGAGTGGCACTACTTGAGAGGGATTAGGAGGTGATGTAGGCAGACTTCTTTCCTACCAGCTAGTTCCCAAATAATCACACTGAGACTTATTAGCAATTATAAATACTCGGCTGATAGCGTAGGCTTGTCTCCAGCCAGCTCTTATAACTTAACTCGACCCGTTTCTATTATCTATGCGCTGCCTGAGGCTTGTTTACCTCATCTATGTACTTTCCATGTTGCTTCTTCCATGTCTGGCTTGGGACTCCTCAGACTCCACCATCCTTCTTCCCAGCATTCTCTCTGCCCCGAAAACCCTGCCTAGCTATTGACCAGTCAGTTTTTTTTATTAACAATGAAAGCAACACATCTTCTCAGTGTACAAAAGGACTATTCTACAACAAAGTGAGGCCTTGTTGAAGTAGGTGTGGCCTTGTTGGAGGAAATGTGTCACCTGAGTGGGCTTCGGGGTTTCAAAAGCTCAAGTCAGGCCGCATGTCTCTCTCCCTTCCTGTTGCTTGTGGATTTAGATGTAGAACTCTCAGCCACTTCTCCAAGACCATGTGCCTGCATGCCACCATGCTTCCTGCCGTGATGACAATGGACTGAACCTCTGAAACTGTAAGCCAGACCCAATTAAGTGCTTTCCTTGTAAGAGATGACATGGACACAGTGTCTCCTCACAGCAATAGAACACTGACTAAAATGGAGAGAAGGTTCATGTGACTCACACCTCCACATCATAGTCCATCACTGAAGGAAGTCAGGACAGGAACTCAAGCAGGGCAGGAACCTGGAGCAGGAGCTGATGCAGAGGCCGTGCAGGGGCTGCTTCCTGGCTTGTTCCTCATGCTTGCTCAGCCTGCCTTCTTATATAATCCAGGACCATCAGTCCAGGGATGGCACCACCCACAATGGGCTGGACCCTCCCCCATTTATCATTAATTAAGCCTATGACTTGCAGCCTGCTCTTGTGGGGGCACTTTAATTGAAGTTCTCTTCTCTTAGATGACTTTAGATTGTGCCAAGTCGCCATGATCTAGCACACTTACCCAGGGACACCAAGATCCTGTAGTTCTCCAGCATCACATGACTGTACAAATGCCTTTGAGAAGGGGTCAGACAGTCCCATTCTTCTTGGGAGAAGTCTACTGCCACATCCCTGAAGGTCACCATTTCCTGAAGTGAAAGAAATGAAAGGAAGTAACCTTCTTTGCCACGCCCACCTCATTTCCTCAGCACTGGGGCAGCGGGCTTTCCCTGACATGACACCCCCAAACGTGTCCTCCATGCTCTCTCTCAGAGCCTCTGTCTTTCTCAGATCACTCTGAACAGTGCAGCTATGCTCTGGAGTGGGAATCTAGCAGAGTCATTGTATCTACGGAACATTAGAATGGCAGAGTTGTTTCTCACTGTCTCTAGTAATATTAGAATGTAATAGTTCGAGGTGCTTAGACCTGAAGAAATCACAGTAGAGAACCATGACTGATTTCTATGATTTATAGAGCTTTTTTCCTGAGGGACTTTTCCATCTGTTGCAAGACAGTGCTCACATTTGGAGCCTCTTGAATTACTGAGCCCTGCAAACACACACAATGAGGACAAACAATACACAATACGGGCTGTGGCGATTGCCTTCAGAGGACATAAGAATAGATCAAGGAGACTAAGGTATGAGGAACATGGCTTATACAAAAAACAGCCTTTGTGTAACAACCAATAATATGCTTCTGAATGGCGATTCGAGGTTCATTCCATTAGGGCTGGACCTCCCTGCAGCCAGAGAGCCTATGTTACATTCCAGAGTGACCCACCTCCTTTGATCATCCTGTGCAACACAGAACAACGGCGCTGCTACTCCAATTCCCTACTCCCCTAGCTATGCTTGCTGTATTTGCTTGTAAGCTATGTGTAGGAGTGCTTTATGTGCACATACACGCGTATGCAGCTCTGTATATTTATCTATCTATCTATCTATCTATCTATCTATCTATCTATCTATCTATCTATCTGTTTTTTCGAGACAGGGTTTCTCTGTGGCTTTGGAGGATGTCCAGGAACTAGCTCTTGAAGACCAGGCTGGCCTCGAACTCACAGAGATCTACCTGCCTCTGCCTCCCGAGTGCTGGGACTAAAGGTGTGCACCACCACTATCCGGCATGTTATTTTATTTTTGAGACAGGGTTTCATGTATTCCAGGGTGGTCTCAAATTCTGTGTAGCTGAAGATGTCTTTGAACCCCTGATCCTCCTGCCCCCACCTCCCAAGTGCCAGCACTACAGGTGTGCACTATCACACCTGGCTTTCGAGGTCCTGGGTTTAAACTTGGGGCTTAGAGTACACTGGGCAGACAGACACTCTGTCAACTGAGCTACAACTCAGCCCTCTGCTGGCCTCCCCTTTCCCATGACTTAAACGTAAACACCATGAGAGCCATGTGTTTGCATTGGCCGCAGCTGCATCTCCAATGACAGAACAGTACTGATGCTCACTAGACATTCAAATACCCACTGGATCACTCGGATGTGGTGGCGCGCGCCTTTAATCCCAGCACTCGGGAGGCAGAGGCAGGCGGATCTCTGTGAGTTCGAGACCAGCCTGGTCTACAGAGCGAGTTCCAGGACAGGCTCCAAAAGCTACATGGAGAAACCCTGTCTTGAAAAACAAAACAACAACAACAAAACAAACAAAAATACTCACTGGACCATTTGAATGAATGAATAAAAGGTTGAACATTTCAAGAAGCTCAAGGGGATAAAAATGGCTCACAGTTACTTTCTCAGCTCTGAAGATTGTGCTAGACTGGACAGAGCAAATTGTTCTTGTGTAGAGAAACGGAAGTATCATTCATAATTTTGCTTCCGTCTCCAGGAGCAGGTCAATGGAGCTATGATTCATTTGCACCCCAGATTTCTTTATGTGACCACTTGCTGCTGAGCCTAACAGACATTACATGTATGTGTTTTGAAATAAAATTTAAACCTTACAGAAAACAAAAGATATGACCTGTTGTCAAAGCAACATAAAAGGATGTGACTTGTTTTACATTTTATATGGTGTGTGTGTGTGTGTATGTGGTGTGTATATGTGTGTGATATGTGTGTGTGTGTGGTATGTGGCATGTGCATATATGTGTGTGGTGTGTGTGTGTATGGTATGTGGTGTGTGTGTATGTGTATGTGGGGGGTGTATGTGTGTATGGTGTGTGTGTGTATGTGTGTATGGTATGTGGTGTGTGTGTATGTGGTGTGTGGTGTGTGTATGTGTGTGTGGGGTGTGGGATGTGTGTGGTATGGTGTGTGTGTGTATGTGTGGGGGGATGTATGTGTGTATGGTATGTGGTGTGTGGGGGGATGTATGTGGTGTGTGGTGTGTGTATGTGTGTGGTGTGTGTATGTGGGTGTGTGTGGTGTGTGGTGTGTGTGGTGTGGGGTGTGTGTATGTATGTGTGGTGTGTGTGTGTGTGTGGTATAGGGTGTGGGGGGTGTGGGAGGTGTGTATGTATGTGTGGTGTGTGTATGTGTGTGTGTGGTGTGGGATGTGTGTGTATGTATGTGTATGTGTGGGGGGTGTATGTGTGTATGGTGTGTGTATGTATGTGTGTATGGTATGTGGTGTATATGTGTATGTATATGGTGTGTGGTGTGTGTATGTGTGTGTAGTGTGGGGGTATATGTATGTGGTGTGTGTGTGTGTGTGTGTGTGTGTGTGTGTGTGTGTGTGTGTACTAAGGGCTGTGTGAATGCTAGGCAAGTAATCCACTCAGAGCTCTATCCCTGTTTTCGCATTTGACTTAATTTTGTGTCCATGCAAACAAAACAAGCTAGTAGTAACTCCTGTTCTAGGGATCCAACACCCACTTCTGACACCCAGGGACACTGAATGCACATGGCACACATACGTACAGGCAAAACACCTAATACATAAGAAATAAATTCACATATAATAATGTATATATGACATACATGGCTTTTCAATTCATTTTTAACGTGTGTGTGTGTGTGTGTGTGTGTGTGTGTGTGTGTGTGTGTGTGTATGCAGGTGCCTATGGAGGCCAGAAGAGGGCGTCAGAAATCTCTGAGCTGGAGTACTGGCAGTTGTGGGCTGCCTGACATGGGCCCTGGAAAACAAATTCAGGTCCTCTGCAAGAGCAGAATATGCTCTTAACTGCTGAGCAATCCCTCTAGTCCTCACCCTCTTTTGTGCAGCTTGTTAGTCTATATAATCAACAAAAAATAAGGCCAGCTGCAGACATAGCTTAGTGCTAAGAGTGTTTGCCTCGCACATGCAAGGGCCTGTGTTTCATTGATGGCGTTGCATTTTTAAAAAGGGCTTAAATCCCAAATTAAAAATTAATTTGACCTCTAGCAAATGATGACAATGTACTTAGCCTCTATATTTACATGGACTACACATATAGAGTCAATCAACTGTGATCAAAATATTAGGCTGGGCATTGGTGGCGCACACCTTTAATCCCAGCACTTGGGAGACAGAGGCAGGTGGATCTCTGTGAGTTCAAGGCCAGCCTGGTCTACAGATCGAGTTCCAGGACAGGCTCCAAAGCCACAGAGAAACCCTGTCTCTAAAAACTGAAAAAAAAAATTAGAAGAAGATGGGTGTGATCACAGCACTCAGGAAGCCCAAGCAAGAGAATTTCAAGTTTAAGGAGCCAAACAGTGCCAGAGATATGGGTGAAACAGACAAGAGGAGAGGACGAATGGGAGTAGACAGCCAAGCCTGGAGAATATAGACAGCGAAGCCTGGAGAATATAGACAGCCAAGCCTGGAGAATATAGACAGCGAAGCCTGGAGAATATGGCAACAGTCCACAGAGACAAGGGTTCAAAACAGAACAGAAGCAGCCTAGTTCTAGCTGTATCTCAAAGGTAGAACAAACAGCTCCCTGATGGAAGAGCGAGGGCTCCCTCGTTCCCTAGTTTACTCCGGATGGTGACACTCTCCCACTCCTGAATCTTACAGTTTCAAAGACGTTTGCATTTGAGACAGCTGTTACACAACCACATGGACGTGTTCAGTAGGCAGTTAGAGATGAAAGCCAGGTTCAGGAATGAGATCTAGCCGGGTGTAGTGGTGTACACCTTTAATCACAGCGTTCAGAAGGCAGAGGCAGGTGCAGCCTTGCCTGCCTGGTCTCTGCAGTGAGACCACGTATTAAAAAAAAAGTTTAGATGTACAGTCAGGTAACTGTGGGCATACGCATACTGCTTTAAGCCATGAAACAAGATGTGATTCCCAAGGCAGTGAGTGTGGGTACAGGAAGAAGAGGCCAGGACTAAGTCCTGCGTCACCCACTGTCAACAGGTACTTCAGATTTGTTGATGCGTGCATGATGTTTGGGAAGTAACTAGAATTAAGCTGGCATTTACCCTATATATGGGGGAACAACATGCCAGCAAGAGGGAACAGTGTGTGTAAAAGTACATATTAAAAATGTATATAGCACGATAAGCCTTTAACCCAGCACTCGGGAGGCACAGGCAGGTGAGGCTCTATTGTGATTTCTTTTACCATTTATTATATAATAAAACTGAGGGACAAATACAAGGATAAACCTGAGAGACAAATCACAATGACCACAACACACACACACACACACACACACACACACACTCACACACACACACACACAGTCCCCTTCAGGGCTCCAAAAGATTGGTGCAACCTTCTGGCCCTGCCTCCTCTTCTCCGGAGGCCTCTCTTTCTCCAGGTCGCCAGGAACTCTCTGATCCATTTGGACCATCTGAATGTGAACCAACGCCTGACTTCACAGACCACAATACAGACAAAATTCCTGCAAGAGATCTCCATGAGTTCGAGGCCAACCCAGGTCAGGTGACTCACAAGTGCCTGTAACTCCAGCACCAGGGGCTTCGGCTCCCTCATCTGGCCTCTGCTGGTGCCACACAGCTGGCATGCACTCACACACACTTGAAAAAATCTTTTGAAAACGACAAAAATGTTTTAATTATATTTAAAAGGTTTAAGGATCCTAGTGAGCTGACTTGAGTTTCACATGCCATGAAAGAAATGAGATGAGGTCAAGTGAGATAACCAGGGATTGGACTCCCGGGAGTCCCCGGGGAGGGCTTTGGGATGTCACATGCTGGTCACCCGAAATCGTTTCACAAGGGAAGCTGCCGCTGCTCCCTTTGAAAGCAGGAAGGTGCTTAAAGAGAGAACACACCAGCTCGCCTGACGCAAGGTTTTTAAGAAGCCCAAGAGCCAGCCATTTCTTTTCCCTCGCGACTCTCTCTCTCTCCTCTCTCTCTCTCCTCTCTCTCTCTTTTATTTTGTTGGTTTTTCGAGACAGGGTTTCTCGAGACAGGGTTTCTCTATGGCTTTGGAGGCTGTCCTGGAACTCGCTTGGTAGTCCAGGCTGGCCTCGAACTCACAGAGATCCGCCTGCCTCTGCCTCCCGAGTGCTGGGATTAAAGGCGTGCGCCATCATCTCTTAAGAAATGGCCACCCCCGGATAACTGAGATGGCAAAAGAACATGAGAGACTAGGTGTTCCTCCCAGTATTCAGGATTACCTACCAATTTAGGGTTTTTTAAAGTTATTTATTTATTTTGCCTCCTGTTGTAACCTTTCCTCCAATAAACTAAGCATGGACAGAGACCTGGCAATTTGTTTGCATACAATATAATCCATGCTTAAGTCATTACCAATTTATTACTTGGGCAGCAAATATACAGAGTTTACATATGAAGAGAAGTGCGGTTGCTTAAAGACACACCTCGGGTAATTAAGTCACTAGGATTAAATGCAGTTGTTTAACTCGACCATCCTTCTCTCCAACTAGAGTGATTCAGAAACTTGGTAGCACACCTTCACAGCTTGGCCGGCTTGAAACGACACCTGGTGCCAGTCGCAGGACCCTCACATGCCCAAAGTATCAAAGACCACACTGCCAGCCGCCGTCACACATACGCCACAGTTAAAGGCCCTGGGCGTAAGCAAATGTTCACCTTCTCCCACCACCACCCCTCCATGCTCAAACGTCCGGGTGCCACCGGCTGGCATCACTAACAACGGCCTCACGCTCTAGCCTGTGCACGAGGGGGAAGGCACCGGTGCAGATTCACTCGCACCCTGCCACACGGTCGGCGTGGACTCGCGCATCGGGTGACAGTCTCGCCCTCCCAGGGGCGCCCAGAGGGCCTGACGACCCGTGTCCGAGAGACGCGCGCTGGCCACTCCCGGCCCACTCCTCACCGGCAGGACGGACGGCGCGAGGATCCCGTTTCTGCCCGGAAGGCTCTCGCTCCTCCGCACCCGCTGCCCTGAGGTCGACTGAATCTATAGAGCCTCAGGGGGAAGGGACGCGAAAGAAGCGGCTCAGATGCCCGGGCTCCTGGAGGACTCCAAGGGGCGACGGCCCAGCTCCCGCTGGGGCCATTGGGAAATGTAGTCCGGACAGAAAGGGCAGCAGCACCGTGGAGTTCTGCTTGCACTGACAGGCTCTCACTGGCTTTCCACGGCCAAACCACATGTATGCAGACATCCATGCAAGTAGAACAGCATGCACATAAAATAAACGGAAATATTTGCTTAGTTTTACTTTGTGTTTTTGCCTGCATTTGTGGATGTGCACCACGAGCCATGCCTAGTGCCAAGAGAGGCCAAAAAGAGGGCTTTAGTTTCCACAGTGTTCTTATTTGCTGAGCCATCTCTCTATAGATCTTTCTCCTGGAACCCAGGTCCTCAAGCATGCCAGGCAAGCACTTTGCCACTTAGCCGCGACCTCTGTATCTTTTCAATCTGACTCTATATTTCATGTGAACACATAGTTTTGTTTTTCTTTCTTTTTTTTCTTTTTCTTTTTCTTTCTTTCTTTTCTTTTTTTTTTTTTTTTTTTTTTTTTGGTTTTTCAAGACAGAAAGACAGGGTTTCTCTGTATTGTTTTGGAGGCTGTCCTGGAACTCACTCTGTAGACCAGGCTGGCCTCGAACTCACAGAGATCTACCTGCCTCTGCCTCCCGAGTGCTGGGATTAAAGGCGTGCACCACCAATGCCCAGCAATTCAGTCTTAAACATCATTAAACCTCAGGGTCTCTCAACTCCATAAACTCCACACCACAAGCCCATGGTCTTGTAACACACACACACACACACACACACACACACACACACACACTCAAGTGATGTAACTCCTGCTTCTGCTGAAGGAAGACCCTAGACTCAGATAACATGCAAGAACAAAGAGCATTTATTATACCACACTTGAGGTGGTTCACCTGTCGTTCAACTGTAAAAAATGGTCACGCCCCCTGAGAGAATGTATAGGCTCCTCTTAAGCACAACTAAAGGGAGTTTCAGGATCAATTAGGTCATCTCAAACTTAATGGTGAAGCAAGCATCAGCTACATCACATATTTTTCATTGGTGGAGGTTCAGTTTTATCATTTTTGGACCTATCTGGATAAGTTGAACGTGACTCAGAAGGGGGCTTCTGGGTTTGTCCTTGAGATACTGAGGCTGACTTAGGTTCTCTGTTTTCTCCCTCAAGCCTGAATGTAAGGGTACAGTGCATGGTTGGCTCTTTGTTGGGAGAGACACCTGTTGGGAGGGTGGATAAGTAAATAAGGTGGGCGAGTTTAACCCCTTCACTGCCAGCTACCAACCAAAGAGTTTATGTCTCCCGGAGGACCACCCTTCCTGTAAAGAGGTAGACAATCGCTGGGGGAGCCCGGAAAAGCCCAGTAAAGAAACCAAAACAACCGCTCCGTGGGTGAAAGGGGAAAAGTTTATTGCAGACTGTCAAAGCTGTCTCCTGGGAAAGCAAGACGTGACCGGGGACAGATTCCCCTGTTCACTGGGAAGGGGAGATAGGCGGCTTGTGAGCTGAGGTGGGGGCTTGTGAGCGGGAACTGGGGGAGCCCAGCGAGTTAAAAGGCACCACAGTCAGTGTTAATGGAAGAACCACAAGTTCCTCTTGCCATAAAGAGAATGACTCCCTTTTGAGCAAGCAGGAACTTTCTCCTAGCCCCTGTGGGAATTGGGGGCTTTTGTCCAAATGCCAGACCTTGAGAAAAGAACTTTCTTAGGGAACCAGACAGAAGGGAGCTAAATAAGCGCAGTCATTAACCCAGCTAACTAGACCAGACTTCTTAACCCCGAGATGCTCAGATGCAAGCAAAGGCCGGTTTTCATTTGGGTGAGCGCAAGTCTCGGGCCGCGAAGGCCTCTGGGAAATGTAGTCCGGAGCAAGAAAGCGGCGGACCCGTTTGGATGCTTTCCAGTTGGAAGCTGCAGACCCAGGCAGCGAATGCCAGGCCGCAGGGAAGCGGCTGCCCCAAGTCCCCCGCGGCCCGGTGCAGGCCTACGCCGATCCTCCTGCTGGAGCGCCGCGCCCTCCCCTGGGCACACGCCCGGCTCGCTCGACCCGCCCGGCGAGCCGCGGGGCCCTCTGGGAAGTGCTACCCGGCGTCTAACGGACCCAGGTTTGCGGCGCTTCTTCCCGGCCAGCGTTAGGCGCGCGGGCCGTGGCCCCCACCCCCACCCCGGGCCGTGAGCGTTGGGCGGCGGCGGGGTGGGATCGCGGCCTGTGGCCGGGCTCGGCGGTGAGTCCCCGGGAAGCCGCGAGCCCGCAGGCCGGGACTCTTTGTGCTGGGTGGGAGCGGGGCCCTGTGGCCCCTGGTGTGGATGGAGGAGGCGATGCTGGCCGTTTACAGCGGCCGTGGCCTGGGCGCGGTGTGGCTGTGATTTGCTCGCTATCCTTCAGGGGCCTTCACGAGCACGGTTGCACAAGTGCATGACCCGAGATGATGGATGAATGAGAAACTCTGGGCGGAAGTTAGGTAGGATGGTGTGTGCAGATGTGTGGAGACCGCGTTTGGTCGTTTATAATAATGGGAAATACATTTTTATGTGAAATACTGGCAGCCCCAACGCTTGGCCGTGTATTTGCAGTGTTGACAAGCTGTCTTGTGTCATTCCCCTTGTTGCCCCCACTCCATTCCCCAAATACCAAGATACGGAAAAGCCCAAAGAATAAAAATTACTCAGTTTTCCTAGTCATGCAGCGTCTTTTAAATGTACTTCTTTTACACTCTTTTGTGAATATGTGCTCATATAAAGAGCATGTGGTGGTGGCGCATGTCTTTAATTCCAGCACTCGGGAGGCAGAGGCAGGTGGATCTCTGGAGTTCGAGACCAGCCTGGTCTACAGAGCGAGTTCCAGGACAGCCTCCAAAACAATACAGAGAAACCCTGCTCATAAAACAAAAACAAAAAGCAGTTACAAATGTATACAATTTAAACTTTTCTTGGTATACGTATATATGCGTCTGTCTCCTGAATAATTTGTGTCTTTTCAACTTCTTGAAGTTATAAGCCAAGTTTATGAAGAACTTTTTGGCGATGTTTTAATGTACCCCCCTTCCTTCCTCCCTCCCTGGGCCAGGCATTTAGAAGTGGAATTGATACGCTTACAATCCTTATTAAAACCTCCCTAAATCTAAACATTTGTTCCCAGTGCAAGGCTCTAACATCCTACTCCATTACTAAAATAATAGATGCATCTTAATATTGGATAGCGATACACCCTAGATAACAATAAATACCGTAAGTGATAGTAATCTTTGTTAACTTCATAGTTATAATATAAAATTTAGTTTACAGTGCTTGTTACCAAAATCAAGCATTTTGATTTGTTTTTCTAAAATAGTGTTTTGTTTCCAGCTTTCACTCCTCCTCTGCTGAGCATCCTCTTATAAACTGAGTATTTATCGAGTGTCAGTCACACATCCTTGCTTGGGATACAGCACTGAACAAAAGAACCAACCGCTCAACTGTCATGTTGCGTACATTGCCGTGGGCCAGACAATAAACAAAGAAAGTAAATGAAATATATCAAGTGCTGAAGATACTGAGAAAGAAAGTCGGGTAGGAGGATGTTTAGAGACGGGAAGAAGAGTTTTAGATGGAGTGGCCAGGGAAGCGCTATTGAAAAGGAGCGGTAAGGAGGTGACGGGAGAAAAGGAGGTGGGTATGTCCACGGCTGAGGAAGGGTTGCTGCGGATAGGGAGAATGCAGCTAAATGGGCTTTGAGGTTGTCATGCCTGTGTGGGGGAAAATGCTGGTGCTGACTACAACAGCATATGTGGCGAGAGACTAGAGCAAGATGTGAGAAGGAGGCTCAGTGCAGGGGAGGAGAGCAGAGGATGCTGGGACTTGTAGTCCTGAATAATGATTCCGACTTTTACCTTGAGTATTTTGAACATGGGAGTAGTAGTATATCTGCTTAATGGCAGCTTTGGCTGCTCTGGTGACAGTGAGCAGCTGGATAAGGAATGCAGACAGGGCAGGGACAGGGTGAGGGACGGAGCGGAAAGACCGGTTAGGAAACTGAGAATAGTCTAAGAGAATATGTTGGAGCTCCAGAGTGCCGGAGTGAGAATGGTGAGTGGTGCTCTCAGTACAGTGTTGCAGCAGAGCTGGGGTACTTGGCTGAAAGAATTGATGCAGAGTGTGACTGTAACAAGATACAACAGGGTTGACTTGGTTAAGAATTTGATTCTTTTTTTTTTTTTCTTTTTTCTTTTGAGGCAGTGTTTCTCTGTAGCTTTGGAGGCTGTCCTGGAACTCACTCTGTAGACCAGGCTGGCCTTGGACTCGCAGAGATCCGCCTGCCTCCGCCTCCTGAGTGTTAGGATTAAAGACATGCTCCACTGTCACCAAGCTGCCCCCTCCCCAAATTTATTTATGTGTGCCTACTTGCCTTTGTGTGCACCGTGTATATGCGAGTGCCTTCGGGGCCAGACTAAGTGTCCAGTCCCCTGGAACTAGTTATCCACAGGTGGCTGTAGACATCCAGCGTGGGTGCTGGGAACTGAACCCGCGTCCTTTGCAAGGGCAGCTGGTGCTCTTGACTACTGAGCAGTCTCCCCAGCTAGCCTCGGGCATCTCTTCCTAAGCTCCTGTTTGTGTTATCATTTTGTGCTCATTGATTTCAACATGCTTGTTTTTCAAGTCTTTGCCGTTACTTTCTACTTGAAGTCCATTCTTTCTATTTGGCAGCGCTTCAAGATGGCTTCTGAGCCCTTCAGCATGGCCTCAATAATCTTTTCTAATTCCCGGTATTTTTGTTGCCACCAGCTATTCATCTTGAACGTTTTCTGCTCTAGTCATGAAGTCAATATTTTCTGTATAGTGCCCTGATTCCTCTTAGTGAGAAATAGCATTTAAAAGCATAATGAGGACTGGAGAGGTGGCTCACTGGGTAAGAGCACTGGCTGCTCCTGTAGACGACCTGAGTTTGATGCCCAGCACCCACATCAGGCAGCTCACAACTGTAGGTGATCTAATGCTCCTCTGTCTTTTCCAGTATGCATGGGTGTGTGCGTGTAAGTAATAATTAAAATAAAAATAG